GTTAGGAACCAGGCCGCACAGCAAGAGATGAGCTCCGCCTTCTGTCATATCAGTCATGACATTAGACTCTCATAGGAGCACAAATCCTGTTGTGAACTGTGCGTGCGAGGAATCTAGGTTGCATGCTCCTTATGAGAATCAAATGCCTGATAATTCGCACTCCTCCTGCCCCCACCCCTCATCTGTAGAAAAACTGTCTTCCACAAAACCAGTCCCTGATGCCAAAAAGGTTGGGGACTGCTGGTCTAGAGAGACTTATGTGTATCTGATTCCCTCTGTTCCCAGAATTGAAGTGAGAGTTAACTATGGGAAACTTAGAGATAGGGTGCTATATGAAAGGCCTAGACCCTCTTCTCCAGAGGGAGAAACTGGGTGTTGGTGATTCCTTCCCAGTTGCATGGTGAGGTACTCAGGGCAGGTCCATGCCTGAGTGTTTCTCTTCTTTCCTACCCATTCAATATGATTATTTTCTCAGTTGCCCAGGGTAGGAGTCTCTCAACTGGTCTTTGATTTTCAGAGGAAACTGATTTGTGACTAGATTTATTTGGTGCATTCATGGATGGAGAGGGAACCAGGAGTTTCCTATTTCACCATATTGCTCAAAGTCAGTAGACCAGCTGTCAGGAATGGTGACCTGAGCCAGTGACACAGAATAAAAAGAGACACAATTGATAGTGAGAAGAGTGGGAGTCACAGTCAGGGAGTCATGCGAGATGTCACCTCTAAGATGGGCTGCAAGCATGTGAGGGCGGAGAACCCTCAACCCAGGCAGATGTGAAAAAAGCCCCAGAGAGAGGCCCCAAGATGAGCCACAATCCATGTCACATGAACAGCAGTAAGGACAAAGGGGTGGGGTATTTGGTCTGGAGGGAAGAAGCAGCCTGGGGCTCACTTAGACCAGGTGAAGAAGGGTTACAGGGGGCAATGACACCACCAGGACACCAGGGTGTGGTTTCCAGTGCATTATAGGGACTCTGCAGGAAAAGGCAGGTCAGGACACAGCTAGAATTCTCCCCAAGGAGAAGGGCCTTGGGAAGTGGGAGTCCCCAGCCCTGGTGGTTTTCCAGGCAAGGCCGAGTGACTGCCTGATGGATGCTGCAGAGAAGACCTGCTCTCCTCAGACAAGGATGAAGTACAGTTCATGGCTGCCAAGATCCTGGTCAGTTATGAGCCATCCAAATCTGTCGGCTCCAAAATGCAATGACAATTGAGCTTACAGAGCTAGGACTTCCTTGGGGTAGATGGGCTGAGTTTCACATTGTCCTGAAACCTTCTATAAGCATATGAAGGAACTATAAGTAGCATGAGCGGTGGCCTGTATTTTTCTCCATAAAATACTCTCAAGGATCGGCTCTTATGAATCAATTGCTGTGCAGTGACCTAGACCCCAGAGGGCAGGTTGCTGATCCCAAAGCCTAAATGATCTCAGTTTCTTAAAAAGTCCCTTTCACCCTCGTGGGCTGGGGGAGGCGATGGAAGTGTCCGGTGGCCTCTTCCAAGGGAAGCAGGAAGGGGAAGATGTTAATTGAAACACAAACAGATTATAGTCTCTCCTGCTTTTTAAGGACTGGGAGGTGGAGAAATTCATATCTGTAAAGAAAAAAAAATCCTCTGCAGTCTGGCTGGTACAGAGCTCATGGGGAATGGACTCTTGAGCCCTGCCATGTCCAGCCACCAGGTGTCTCTAAGGGCACGCCCTCAGGGGGCAGAGAGAGTTCAGCCTCTGGACAAGCCTGGAGCCAGCTAGGGGAAGGGGGAATTACTCTTTATAATAAATCCAGGGAAAGTGGTTCCTCCAGTCAGCTTGAGTGAAGGGAGAGGAGCCCAGAAGTGGGAGGGAGGAGATAAACAGATCTCAGCAGCTGACAGGCCCCGACCCCTCAGCACCCCAAAACTTCAGCAAAGTCTGTGACTCCACCTAGTATTGTATGGGTGGTACCTTGGGCAGGAAAGGAATTGGGGCACTGCCCAGCATTGGGGGCATGAAGGTGGGAAAGGACCAGTACACCCAAGGGATCATGTGAAGAAACTCCCTGAGAATCCATCCCAGAGGTATTTGCATATGGAGGACTCTGGACTTCCAACATATTTGGAATAGGGACTCCAGGTATTCAAAAACATTGCATCTCGCAAGCTGGGGCACCCAGGGTGCTGGACATCTGGGTCAGCATAGAAGCAACCACAGAGGTGGCAGAAACTTAAACTAGGGCTCCATGGAATTAGAATGGTCTGGGGCTCAGGGCTACTCAGTGGCACTAGATGTCCTGAGCCCCTTCCTGGGTGTCTCAGAAATTCCAGGACCACCAAGCTGGCTCTGAGCCCAGCCCCCACATTCATCGGTGTCCTCTCTTTGGCTCTAGGGATGGAAGTTTGGTTACAAGCCCCCACTCTAGCTGGTTTCAAATCCTTCCTGAATCTATAGAGGTGGCACACACAGGGCCCCCAAGGCGGAGGTACACCTCTGACATCCTTGGCCCTGAGGACTCTGAGTCCGGCTCATGTAGATGGACTCTGTCTCACAGTCAGGATGTGGGGACTTCTGAGGTGGCAACCATGTAGCCCTGGGGAGCGAGGAAGGGGTGCATATACCAATCCATCACTGCAAGAAGCTGCAAGCCAGCACTGGGGGAGCCCCTCACCCCTCATCTGCTGATGGTGCCACTGGGGGTCCAAGAGGGCGCATTCCTTGCCAAACTCACCCAGCAATAACCCCTGGGCTCAAGGCCTGCTAAAAAAGCTGTGGATGACAGAACCAGACACTGTGCAGAGGCTCAGCCAGCCCAGAGGATGCTGCCTAGATAGGCAGGCCCTTTGCACATGGTCACACAGGTAGATGCCTGGAAGCTTAAGCGCAGTTGTAAACCATCTCCCAACTTCTTTATTTCCCTGCTATTAAGTGCTTAGTGAAGATTGCTTTCTACCATCCCAATGAGCTGTCCTCAGAGAAGCCTGTTGTGCTATGGTGAGCCCACCTTGGGGAACAGATGGAGCCAGCCCCATGACCACTTCTAGAATCACCCAGAAAGAGCATTCACCACTCAGTTGATTCCTTCTCTCACTGAACACTGGGGAACTGGGGCCAGGTAGGCAACTGTGCTGAGGTCATTCACACTCCTCCACCCCAAGAGAATCACAGTCAGCAAATCCCCAGGGCGGGTCTTAGAACAAGGACTGGCAGACAAAGAAATGGCTGCAGTCTCTGCTATGTGAGTGGTTTCCTAACAGAACACATCATGGGCTGAGACTGAGTATAGCATGGACACTGAGCTTCACAGGACTCTGACACGAGCAGTATGGCCTAGGGCGGGCATGTGGGCCCCTCTGTTAAAGGGGCTGTCCCTGTTACTCTGTCTGCTCACTGAGATACAATGAGGATGCTCCTAGGGCATGTGTGGAAAAGCAGTTTGGGAACTAGTGGGTGACACACAGTGATGCTGGGCATCAGGCAACCTGCTCTGGACCAGCCTCAAGGCCAGGAACCTCGTATCCTCTCTCAGACTTCTCCTTCCATCGGTTCCCACTGGCATCCTCAGCAGGGCACAGAGAGAAGGGAGTTGGCCCTAGGAGTGTCCAGGCCTCACAGCACTTCCTGAGTAGGGCAGAAGTGACCCCGTCAGTTCTGCTGAAAGTTCACCTCACAAGTCCCCCTGACCCTTAGGCATCCCTTAAGCTAGCAGGGAGACAGGAGGGATTGGCCTTGGATAGAGCTGGAAAACTGGGGTACCCAAGGGTAGGGGCAAGAGACTGAGCCTGGAGATCCCAATTCCAAGCAGGATCCCAAGCCAGAGGGATGGAGCGGGTCATGGGGTGTGAAGGGTCCCAGACACTAGGCCTCATCCAGGTAGTTGGCACCTCAAGACAGGGAGAGGGCTGTCTGTCTGCTCCAGCTGCCTGAGGGATGCCAGGATGACATGGTATGTGTGCGCCCAGTTCAGGAAGAAAGGTATAGAAACACAGCACCTCCACAGGGCCCGAAGTCCTCCAAGGAGCATCCATGGAACCCTTGACAGGCAGCTCTGACTTGGGCTCTGTGCCCAGGACCAAAGGGTATGCCCTCTGCCGTCTTCCCTGGTACACCTCGAACCCAGTGCCAGCCACCTGCAGACTGGAGCAGCCACACCCCTTCCTAGACTAGCCACACCCGTAAGTGTCCTCAGTTCCAGCCTCCTCCTCAGGGCCATGTGTTATTGGCATACTCAACACTCAGACAACAGGGACTTTTAAAATGTCATTCAAGGCAGGTATAAGGTGGTGTCAGATGTTCTCTGACTGTCATAATGACAGGAGCTGGGTTGGCAAGAGATTCACCACTTCAATGTGAGTCAGGGAAACTGGTCACACCTGGCAGTGCTCAGAGAGGGGTTGACCCCCTTAGGCTGCCCCTGAAATAAGAAAAATACAGCTGGGAGGAAGGCCAGGTGCCTACTAGCCCCCATCAATGCCAACACTGGGGATCCCCTAGTGGGACTGCCAGATATGAGACTGCCCCTTCCCAGTGCCTCCCCTCCACGACTGGGCAGGGCTGGCCAGGCAGCCTTGTTTGGCCCAGGCAGCACATGTTCCCCGTCCATCCTCATCCACGCTGGGAGCTTCACCACTCCTTTCCTCTCCTCTCCCCAGGAGCCCACCTCCAGGCTGGAGGAGAAGCCAAGAGGTCATGTGGGCCGACCTCCACCTCCAAGTAAGTGAGGGCTACAATCCCCCTTTCCAGGGGAGAAGCTGAGGCCTAAGGCAGACGTTCAGGAGACACAAGACCCAGCATCACTCTGGAATGCAGGTCACCGGGCCATGAGGCTGAACTGGGGGTGCCTCAGTACTGGGCAGGAAGCCCAAGTGGAGGGAGGCTGGGCCAAGGAGGAATAAAGCTTAGTGGAACAGAACAGAGGTGGCTGACCCAGGACAACCAGGAGACAAGAAGGTCCTCTCTAGGGCCCCAGTTGTGCTGAGCCTCCCCGCAGAGAGCTCTCCCCAGCTCTGGGGACCCTTGAAAAGGCCAAGGCAACAGTACAGTGATTTATTGACGAGACTTAGCAGCAAGAACACAGCGAAGTTGGGGCCTGTACAATCCAGCCTGGCAGAGGGTCTGGCCCCCTTAGAGCCAAATCTGGGGAACTCTCTCCCCCACAACCCCCCGAGTCTAGCCCCACCCCTGCTCCAGGCCCCTCCTGAAATGAGGGACAGCAGAAGGGTGGGTCCTGGAGGGGCTGGGAAGGCAGGTGGCACCAGAGCAGGGCCGGCACCGGGTGCATGCCTGCCCCGGCAGCTGGCAGGAGGCAATTCGTGCGGGGCGGTAGGGGCGTGCAGGCAGGTAGCTAGGCTCACCACACAGAGCACTTGTGAGCAGGGTTCATGGGCGAGTCCTTGGGACAGTGGAAGGCCCGGCCAAACTCCTCAAATTGGGATACACTGCCCAGTACCCTGGGACAGGGGGAGAAACCCATGCAGTCTGGAGCCCAGTGGCCACCTCCACCCCAGCTGCCAGGGTTGACTTCTATCCCTTTCCATCTCCACTGCTCCCATCCCAGACAGAAGGAGGGGATGAGGCCCCGGTAGGCCAGTGGGTATACCTGTAGTGCTCAGGTGCATGCTTGTCGGTCAACACCTGAAGGTAGATGGACTGCGAGCGCCGCTTGATGCACCAGTTCTGGGCCCGGGAGGAAGCGGAGGAAGGAGGGAGAGGTGAAGCCAGCCGTCCACTGCCCACTCTCCCAAGGCACGTTAGGACATAAGGCCCTTCTCAGAACCACAGGGCCTTCTGGAGGAGATGGGTGATGGGCAACAGGCTGGACTCTCAGGGCCAGCCATGCAAGGCCTAGCAAGGCAGGGCTGGGACTGATCCTGGATGCTGTGTCCCCGCCCCCTGGCCCCAAGTCCAGTCCCCCACCCGGCCCACCTGGGCAAAGGCAATGAAGAAGAGTTGGTTGTGTGTGTACTTGAGCCGGTGCAGCGGGTGCTCTGGGCCATGCTCTCGCACCCACTTCTGATAGGCCTGGGGACACAGAGCATGGACCTGCTGTGCCCGCCCTGCCTTGAGCACTGCTCCCTCTCCATCCTCCGCCCAGTCGGCCCGTCATGGAATGCTGGGCCCAGGATAATGCCAGCTCCTCACCAGCCCCAGCTCCGCACATCACCCACCACGCTGAGTCCTTAGCCCCAGGAGATACCATCCCCTCCAGGCAGCCCTCTCTGCTCTCCGCATGAAGGTAGGGCCTGTGAATCCTTCCTCTTCCAGTGGACCGTGTCCCCAGCACAGGCGCTGCCCCAGGCCCGGCCAGAGCCAGCAAGATAAGCAGGGAAGGGCAGCTATGTCTCTGATCTGGAGTCTTCATCATCTCTCCCCGCCCCCAGCAGGGACAGAGGGCCAGGCAGGGGTGGCTCACATAGTAGGCAAGCTTGAGGCCACCCATGTCTGCGATGTTCTCCCCAAGTGTGTGCTTCCCATTCACCTGTCGAGAAGGGAAGAGGCTAGAGGACTGCCTGGGGCCCTACTGCCTCCCTCGGGGATTGTAACCCTGGGCACCGGCCCCCAACTCCTACCCACTCTTTCCTTCCCCTACCCCTAGTTTCGAGGGTCTAACCCCTTTTCATTCTCCCCCAACCCCTGTGCCCTGTGAGTCTGTGTGTATCTGTTACATGCCCGGTGAGTGAGCACAGGAACTGAGTTTGTGCAGGGACCTGGACCCAGGTGTACGAATGGGTGTGTATGATGCTCATAGTCTGTGCCCAGCGGCCTGAGGGGCACAAGGGGCAGGGTGTGGGTGTCTCACCCGCTGGTTATAAACGGTGAAGTTGTCATAGAGGCGGACAATGCACTCGGCTTTGCGCAGGAAGCGACTGTAGGAGGCCTCCGTCCACCAGTGCAGCAGGTTCCCAGAGCGGTCATACTGGCCCCCTGGGGGCAGGGGGTGAGCAGGCTGACACTGACCCTCACCCCAGAGCATGTGTTCCTCCCGACTCACTAGCTCCAGTCAGCCCATCACCCACCCTGCACCCCCCACTGTCCAACTTCTCCCTCCTCCCGTCCAGCCACACTCTAAGGTCCCAACAGGCCTCACCCCAGTCATCGTAGCCATGGGTCAGCTCATGTCCAATGATGGTGCCGATGCCCCCGTAGTTCAGAGACCTGGCCCCATGGTACCAGTGTCAGGCCCAGCACTCACCACCCTCTAAGAACCCTATGCTGCTGCCCAGGCCCCAGAGGCCCCTAGCCAGGCCAGAAAGTGGCCCAGGAAGGCCATGGAGGCATGGGCATAGTCTTGGGACACTGGTGCCTCAGCTTCCTCCTGGGCTATATGAAACAGGCCAATGACACCTGTTCAGCTGCCTTTTAGGAAACAACATCTCATGGAGCTAGTGGCAGTGTGAAACAAGGCTGGAGGGAGATAGGAGGGAAACTGAGGCACCTATGTGGGGATTTGGCCTCCTACCTCATCATCAGGGTTACTTCACTTTTGAAATACCCACAAGCCTCAAATAAGCAAGGAAGACCCCAGGAAACTAAAAATTAAAAAAACCTACACCTTTTTCTAAACAACCTAGGATGAAGTGGGACTATGGGGACCCAGGGTTCACAGTTGTCATGATTCTGGGGACCCAGTTAGGTTCTGGGGCGGTCTGAGCTGCGCCACTGCACCCGCACATTTACTAGGTGAGTTCTGTATGCCAGCCCCGCCCTCAGCCACATCCAGTGTAGGTGCTATACTCACTGTGGGAAGTCAGGGTCATACAGGGTGGGCTGCAGGATACCCGCAGGAAACACTACAGGAAGGGCATGGTCACTGGGAGAACCGCTCACTTTCAGACCCCACCCCCCGTGGAGATGTGCCCCCCTTACCCATCTGGTTCTTGTTGGGTAGATAGTAGGCATTGAGCGCCTGTGGGGGAAGCAGCCACCTGCAGGTAGAGGCTGGCTCAGCTGGGAGAGGCACAACCTCCCCAACTACCCTCACATCCTAGCTTCCTCTCCTTGAAGGCTGTGCTGGTGGTCAAGCCACAGCCAGATCCTCACAGTTCATCATCTGTGCCATTCCCAGGCTGGGCCACCACCCTGACAACCCCCTCCCCACGACCTGCACTGGCCCATATGCCCCCCCTCATCCGCATGGCTATAAGGTGGTTTGCTCCACCAGGTCCTCTCCCCATGATGCTCCTCTGACCCCCAGCTCTGGGCCAGGCACCCACGTGGACTTGTCCACCTCCTGCCGAATCTTCTTGACTGAGAGCTGGATGCTGAAGCGGATGCTGTTTAGGATGTTCTTGAAGTAGGTCTTCTCATGGACCTCAAACTGCATGGGGGATGGGAAGAGCTTAGAGGCAGGCCGGGGTAGGGGTAAACCAGGCAGGGCCACAGGCCTGAACATGCAGGCCATGTGACCTTCCAGGTGCCACAAGATGAGGTGCCATGTCATTCATGGTCAGGCTGGCAGGCAGAGGAATAGACCCACCTCATATTCCTTGTCTACAGCCTCAGGTTTGAGCAGGAAGTCCGGGTAGCCAACCATCACCATCATGTACTGAAGCTGTAAGCCACAGTGTGTGTGAGGGTGGCCCGGGACCTCGGAAGACAGTCCCCCACCCCACAAAAGGCGGAAGCACTAGACCAGTTTGGGATAAGCATTGAGGTAGGGGAGGTAGGCCTGGTAATGTCAACTCCACAAAGGCCTCTTTTTCCCTTTTGTTCTCTTTCATTGGCATACGGTAGGCTCCCAACAAATGTGCACAGCACCAACAGAAGGCACTGGGGGGCCCTCACCTTGGCCCGGGCAGCTGCCCTGGTCTCAGCGTCCATCCAATCCAGCTCCTCTAGGCGCTGGCCCAGGATGTACTTGATATCTTCCACCAGCTGCTGCACCTGGTGGTTCAGGGGTTAGGGAGCAAGGGTCATTTCAGCATGTTTTCACTCTGGGTCCCAGGTTCCTGGCACAAGGGGTAGCCCTGTGCTTCCCCATCACATCCTAAGCCACATGTGGTGCTGAGCATCAAAGGGACAGGTCCTGCACCTCCATCATAAGTCTGGAAGGAGTAAACTTCCCCAGCAAAGACCACAGACATCCCTAAGGCCGTGGCTTCTGAGCATGGCTGAGAAGACTAGGCAGGAAGGTGGCAGGGAGGGCTGCCTGCAGCTGACAGACCAAGTAGGCTTCCTGGAGGAGGAGGCCTGCAGAGGAGCAGCCTGGAACCTCAGAGCCCTATGTAGGGCCTGGTACCATTGGCTGTAGGGGGATGTATAGAGCTCCTCATGCTCAGACCATGGGCTCAGAGGGTTCCACACCAAGTTCTGCACATGTACCCCCACCCTAAAACCAGGGCTGCCCACCTTGGCTTTGCTGGAGGCTGAGAAGTGCTCATGTACAAAGAGAGCTCCGAGTGCCATTCCAAAGTGGCGGTTAGCCTGACCCAGGCAGACCCGGGCCAGCTCCTGTGGCTTGTCACTGCCCTCCATTTCGCGTGCCAGCTCATGCAGTGCCTCACGGAATGGCGATGACAGGTGCTCACTCAGGACCACAACCACACGCCACACCAGATAGTTATGCAGAATCCTAGAGGCCAGGGGTAGTGGGTGGATGTCCAGAGAGACATGAATACAGGCCACCCAAGGGCATCCCCCAATCTGGGTCTGGACCCAGCACCCACACAGCCCCATAAAGAAGAGCTGAGAGGTCGTTACAAATATGCAGAGTAGGTAGGAAAGCCAGGATCTGCATCTAGGGATTTAGTCTCCTCTTCCAGTGCTCACCACCTGCCTCCCCCGTGTGGTCACCAGAGATGGAGGTGAAAATTCAGAGTCTACCCAGCAAACAGGTCCCTGGGTGCAGGGGAGGGGTCTGGAGGCTGGTGGCAAAAGAGTGGCCACCTGCAGCCATACCTGTGGGGTGTGGAGCGAATGAGCTGGGACACCTGCTGCATGTAGTCCGTGGCCAGCAGCACCACCTCCTCGTCCTCCGAGAAGTCCTCCTGGAAGATCTGGTCCAGCAGCCACTTCCACCGCAGCTGTGGGGCCGAGAGCAGCGGCAGTGAGGCTGGAAGGAGCAGGGGCCACACAGAAGGGGAAAGGGGATAGGGACAGACAATAAAAGGACAGGAGAGTCCATGGCCAGAGAAGGCCTTGCCCATCCCTGGGGAGAGGTGACCCAGTATTCCCAGCATCAGTAGCATCAGTGCCACGCCCCCCACCTGCCTGTCCAGTGGGACTGAGCCACACTCACATGGGGGGTGATCTTCTGCAGCTGCCCAAGCGTCACCTTGTTGTACATGGAACTGACATCTCGCCGTAAGTCATCATACTCTGACACTGTGATCTGAGGTTGACATCAGAGTTGACCCACTTCTGCCCTGTGGTGCACTGCCCCCAGCCCAGGGCAGCCCCCAGCCCTGGCTTGCTCACATTGGCCAGGCGCTGCTCCAGCTGTAGGATCTCCTGGGCCTTCTGCTCCACAGCATCAGCACCCAGGAGACTGAGCACACGCTCCATGAACACCCTGTAAGCTGCCAGGATCTGCACCAGGAGAGGGGGCTCGACAATGGGGACGATCCTGGCCTGGGTCCACCAGGCCTTCCCTGCCACCCATCCCACACCCCAGCACCTTCTCGCTCTCCTCATCCTGAGCTAGGTACAGGGTTCTCTCTGGCAGGGTGAGCCCATCCTGGTCAATCTGGGGAGGGAGATAGGGTCCAGAGGTCAGAGGTCAATATGCCAGGTTCCCTAAACAGACAGAATTCCCACCTAAATACCTAAACGGAGGGCATACCAGACATGCATTGTCACAGGCTCTAGGAAATCAGTCCCTCACCGCACTCAGACAAGCTGGTCAAAAGCCCCCTCCCTGACTGTCCCCACCCGGGGCTCCCAACTTCTTCCTGTAGTAAGCCTGCCCTTTCTCTGCCGGTAAGGGGCACTCTTGGGTCTCCACGATCCTCTCCCCCACCCCCCCACCGAAAGCTGGGACCCCTGGTCTTCCAGGCCAGCCCGTCTGAGCAGAGCTGTTGCCCTATCCAGTTTTACACCCCTCCCTCTGCGCCCTCACCGCCTGCAGGAGGGCTGGAAAACTGTGGCTCCCGCGGCTCCGCTAAACACCGCAATTACCCGAGGGAAATTACTCGCGCCCTCCTCCCGCGTCTGCCTG